AAACAGATTTGCCAAAAATAAAATAAAAAATAAAGAAAAACCAGAAATGGTGACACTGACATAAAACCCCAGCACTTGGGAAACTGAGGCAGGAGAATCAGGAATTCAATATGATCCTTATTAGGTTTAAGGCTAGCCTGGGCTATATGGCCTCCTATTTCCTAAATGTCCACCATCCTCTCAAAAAAAAAAAAAGAAAGAAAGAAAGAAAAGAAAAAGGAGACAGAGATGAAGAAGAAAAGAATTCTCTGCACAAATCAGGAATGGGAGGGAACTTTCTCAACCTAATCAAAGAATTTTACATTTCCTCTGTAAAGAAAATAAAAAGAATCATTGAGTTAAGTTCTACCACCCAAGTCAAGGGTAGGAAATGAGAGACTGGCCGGGCAGTGGTGGTGCAGGCCTTTAATCCCAGCACTCGGGAGGCAGAAGCAGTCCAATCTCTGTGAGTTCAAGGCCAGCCTGGTCTACAGAGTGAGTTCTAAGACAGCCAGGCGCTACACTAAGAAACCCTGTCTCCAAAAACAAAAACAACAACAATAAAAACTAGTCAAGGAAGAAACTGTTGTTATTGTAAACAAACCGACTGCCAATGAAGAAACGGATTTATCTACATGTTATGAGCAATAACAAGAAAGGCTGCTCAAACAGCAACAAGCCACACTCCTACCTCCAAAAACAAACCATTCAAAAGCAACCACAAAGCAAAATTCTTAGAAATAACTCTCCAGGGGGGGCTGGAAAGAGAACTCTTGTGGTTCAGAGTTCATACTGATCCTGCAGCATCTGGGTGCGGGAGCCTCATAGCTACCTATAAGAACACCTCAGGGGATCTGACGCCACCTTTGGGCCTCCAGGGACGCCTGTACTCAGCGGCACATGTACCCACACACAGACAGACATAGGTATATTTTACATATAAGATAACAAATCTTAAATAATTCTAACAAAAATGTGAGAGGTATGAGTAGAGACCCTGCTCTCCCTAAGGACAGTCTGTCAGTGTGGTAAGCACCGTCAATATATATACATGTATACACACACACACACCAAATGTTTTTCTTTCTTGAAGTAACTTGAACTGCTTGGGGGAAAAAAAAGCCACTCAGCCACTGAAGCTGGAGATACCAAGCTCCCTTCTTCTGCCTGGCTGCCTCTAGCGGGAAATCAGCCAAGAAACCCTTTAGCTGTAACCAGACCACCCCTAAGACAGCCCAGGGGTGTTCAGATCCTCCCTCCCATTCTGAGGAACACTTCACCCCAGCTGCTAAGACCTGTGAAGTTGAACTAGGGCTCCTGCTCTTGCCAGGACTTCCCTACAGGCCCTGCATTAGCCTTGGAAGACATCTTCCAAGATTAACCTATATAATATGTAACAGGTGGCCCTGCTCACCCGTCATTCACACAGACATGGGAGAGCACTGTCAACCCTGGTAGTGGCTCTGCAGACAGCTTGCCACTGGTGTAACAGGAGACCTGAGATCGGTCTTTATGGAAGGTCTCTGACTGATGGAACTGGAGGTTGTGCAGTGATTGGTAGGTTGTGCCAAGTCCCTTCTGTAGCTTTTGTGACCAGGCTGTTGGCCCACTTTATTTTTCTAGTTTATGACACTTGTTTATTTACTTCTCTGTGCACGTGGGTGTGCATGCAGGCACATGTGTGACCCACGGGGCACATATGGTTATCAGCTCTCTCCGTTTGTCATGCTGGGATTGGTGGCAAGCACATTTACCGCTGAGCTATCTCACCAGCACTGCCCCGGTGAGGAGTCTATTTCAGCAACGGGAAAAGACACTAGGTCCGTATCTAGACTACAGAAGGAATTTATATAAGTTGCTAAGAAAAAGGTGACCAAGTTCTTTTTAATGGAGTGAAACATGAGCAAATATTTCAGAAGAAACAAAAAGGGCAGAGAGATGTCTCAGTGGTTGAGAACACTGCATGTTCTTGCCGAGTGTTCTTGCTGAAGTCAGGGGTTCAGTTCCCAGCATTCATGTGGGGCTGCTCACAACCTCCTGTTCCAGGAGATCCAGTGCCCTCTTCTGGCCTTTGTGGGTACTGGCATGCACGTGCTACGCATAATCACAAGAACACATACATGCACATAAAAATAAGTATTTTACTTAACTTTTTCTTTCTTTTCTTTCTTTTCTCTCCTTTTCTTTTTTTCTGTTTTCTTTTCTTTTTTTTTTTGATACAGGGTCTCTCTCTATAGCCTTAGCTGTCCTAGAACTCTTTGTGTAGACCAGACTGACCCTAAACTCACAGAAATCCACCTGCCTCTGCCTCCCAACGGCCAGGATTAACAGTGTGTGCCACCATGCCGAGCTAAATCTCCCTTTTTAAAGGGAACAAATGGTATATGATGTGACAGGACACTCGTCGGTCCTGAAGGAATGCAAACTAAGACCCCAAGTAGTGTCGTTGGTACCAACAAACTGGCAAGATAAGGGACATATGATTGTCAGCTGTGACAACGGCGGAGGGTAGGAAGCTGGAAGGCACAGAAGCAGCTGGATGACGGTAGAAAGGACAGCCACATGACCCGGACCAACCCAGAAAAGCAACTTGCCTCCTGCCACTACCATACCGGGCTCACAGGTGTACCACAGTGTCACCTAATTATCATATTTACCGCCAGTCATTGCCTGACCCAGCTATGTGCCTGGTGCAAAGGTTGGCATCTAGCGGATCATAGACGGTCTGAAGTGACAACTCTCCTTTTGCTGTGAGATGTCCAGTGCTCTAATTAGAAGCTGCTCCCTCCACCCAGGTCCCAGAGACAGTACGCAGAGGTCACAGGCACTGTCTACAGCATTATTATGACAGAACCTCAGACATAACAGTTTGAAGGTGGAAACGTTTGTTTGGGCTCACTGTTTCAGGGAGCGTTTGGTCCATCACAGTGGAGAAGGCACGGTGCCAGGGGCACATGGTGGCATTTGTGGTAACTTGAGTAGACACAGAAGGTTCTTCACACTGACTGGGTCAGGAAGCAGAGACGGCAGGCTGGGACCAGAGACCTATAGAACCAATGAAGGACTGCCCTCAGAAATCCCTCAGGATTTCTCCTAAAGGCTCCACGGCCACCAGTGAGGAGCCAAGCATTCAAATCATGAGCCCATAGCAGACATCTCAAACTTGAGCCACGACATAGAGCCACAGCTAAAACAGGCCTGTGATCAAAGTAAGCAATGAGTTTTAGGGACAGGGAAGATTCACAGCCAGTTGTAGACATGAGTTCAATCCCCAGAACCCATGCACGTTCATAACCCCAGCCCTGGGAAAAATGGGACCAGCTGGGCAAGCCTGCTTGGTAAGCCTTAGTCAGTAAGAGACCTGAGGAACAGACCTGAGGCTGGCCTCCAGCACACGAACACACACACACACAAACACACACACATTCAAGACACATATCTTCATTTTGCTGAACTCCATTGAGATCTGGGGGTGGCATTTGTTATTTCTGTATAACCTGGCCCATCTTAACTGATCAAGGCACCTGCTATAAACCCATCAACTGTATTTCAGGGTGTCTCCACAGTGACAGGGCATCTCCACAGTGACTCTCCTGCACAGGCATCAGTAGAGGATAAGCAGCAGTCACACAGTGACTGAGAAGCCATTGAGGAACCCACACATAAGTTTGGGGAGGACAGACTCATAAGTGATGGCAGGCGGTCCCTGCACAAGAGACACCCTTGGTGCTACACACAGCAATTGGAGTTACAGATCCAATTCTGAAGGACTAAAGCAGCTCAAAGTTGTCACCACACAGCAGGATAGCGGAAAGCTCAAGACACGCGACACAGTTAAAGGGCACTACATGGTAACTACATGGTAAGGATTTCTGGAATGAAAAACAGGCTCAACTTTTGTAAGAACCCAATTTTAATATTTTTAGGCGGGTTTTAAAAATGGAAAGGCTAGCTAGGGGCCATGGCGAACAGTTTAAATCCCAGTACTCTGGAAGCAAAGGCAGGAGGATTTCTGTGAGTTCCAGGCCAGCCAGGGCTATACAATGAGATGTTATCGCAAAATAAATAAAAGTAAAAACCATTCTTAGCTCTTGAGCTGTACAGGAGCCACGCAGAGGCAAGCGGCCGCCATGTCTGCCCCCGCGGGTTTGAAGGCTGGGTTCCTACTGTCAGTTCACAGTGTCCCCCGCCTCACGGTGCTTGGTGCCTTTCCTACATAGCCTATTTATTGATGAGCCTGACACAGAGGACACAGGAGAGGCAGACCCTTGAACTCCTCTGAAGATCTCCCTCAAACTCTGACAGGCCTTTTCCAGACAGGGATGCATGGGTCTCCCTCTTCAGACAGTGGATGGTGGAATTGTAGTGAGAAACCAAGGGAAAATGGGTTAGGGGAGCATACTGCATCTTATGGCTTATTGTCATGCATATTTACACACACACACACACACACACACACTGATTTTACAGTTATTTTAGCTGGACCATTGGTCTATGAGATACAACTGAAACTGTCATTTTCTTTAGAATATATATATATATATATATGTATATATATATATATATATACTTTAGATATATTTTCTTTAGAATACATTCTAATATATAGATTATATATTAGAATATATATACATCTATATATCTATATATCTATATATAGAGAGAGAGATCTTTTTAAGGAGAATCTAGATTGGTCTCCCCGTTGTCCTATTAAAAATGTCAAGAGTTTAAGTAAAAAAAAAAATTAAAATTAAAAAAATGTCAAGGGCTGGACTGGAGAGCTGGCTCAGTGGTTAAGAGCACGGGCTGCCCTTGCAAAGGACCCAGGCTTGATTCCCTAGCACCCACATGGAGGCTCAGCGCCATCCATAACTCCAGCTTTTATGGATCCAACCCTTTCTCTTCTGGCCTCTGCAGGCATCAGGAGTGTCATGTACACACACACACACACACACACATACACACACACACAGAGGCAGGTAAAACACTCATACACATAAAATTTAAAATAAAAAAAGGGATTTAAAAAAGGTAAAGACAAATATATTAGCATTAGAAGAGTCTTGGATGGGGTGCGTGCCCACACATCTAGGATGGTGTTTAAGAATAGGGTGGTAGGGTTGTTTGTGCTACTCCCCAGGATGGTGGGGTCCTAGTGCTTCTTGGTTTCCTGAGGGTCAGTGCATCTCCTAGGATGACGGTACATCACAGCTGGTAGCCTCCTCCTCCTCCTTCTTCTTCCTCTGGAAATCGGCAGCTGCAAGCATCTTCCTCTTGAGCTGCTCCAATGGCCTTCTTAAATGCTAGAAAACAAGAGATACAATGTAACAGACATGTACAATGTAACAGACATGTCAGCCGGCTGTCTCCATCTGTTACCCGAGTCACACCTGTGAGGGTTCTCAACCCTAACCTGAGCAAACTCATGAACCAGGCGATGGCATGTGTGAGCTTCCTAGAGAAAGCTTACTTTATCTGACTGTATTTTACTTTATTTTATTGTGTTCACAGGCAGGGGCTCACTCTGTTGTCTGATTTACAACTCTTCTGTACATCAAGCAGGCCTTGGACATGTAATGACCCCCCTAGATCAGCCTCCTAAGAGCTAGAATTAGAGGTACACCCCAATATGCCAGGATTTCCTCCCTCTCTCCCTTCTTTCGGCTTTAAAAACCATCTTCTATATTTTAGACAATGGCTTGAAACAAACCAACCAAAGCTTGTGCCCAGCTCACAGCGGCCAAAAGCGCAGCCCACGCTGCAGGCGCAGTTGTGGGTTCAGGGCAGTAGCCCTTATTTTATTCTCAAGAGTGTTTCAGGTTTTCATTTCTCTTCCATGTGATCCTGTGGCACCAAGCTTAAAGCTGCTCTCTAGTCCCGTCTATGAAAGGAAAGAACTGATCGGTGTAGGACCAGGGCCTCAGCGGCGGCTCTGCAGCTGCAGCTGGAGGCTGTCACATCTGCGCTTACAGCTGAGTGGCCCTTCCAGCTCTGGTTCTTTTAAACTTAACAAACGGTCCCACTCCAATGTCACCTCTTCTGCGTCCTAGATCATATTTTAAAGAGGAAGAGGGAGAGGAAGGGAAGTAAGTAAGTAATGCTGCTGGGATTGTTTTTTTTTATAATTGTATCCAAGATTAACCAAAATAGTAAGTATTCACTTCAAGTAGGAGAGATTCCCAGATCTGCTGTTCTATTCTGTCCACAACTCCAGACATGGCCTAGGAAACAAACACAAGGTGGCTGAGAGACCGAGAGGAGAGGGAAGACTGGAGACCGAGAGGAGAGGGAAGACTGGCCAAGAATCTCAGGGCCTAAGAAACAGCACAGCAAGAAGCAGCCTGGGTTTCCCCTCTGCCTCTGATTCCTGGAGGGGAAACAAGAAGACTTGAGAGCCCAAGGATGCCAGCACAGAAGTCGGAAAACACTGTTCTCTCCAGCTACAGGACCAGGGACAGGATAGCCTAGCAAGATGGGAAGCTTCTAGACCAGTGGTTCTCAACTTCTGAGTTGTGACCCCCAAGGGGTCAAATGACCTCACAGGGACCACCTAAGAGCATCAGAAAACACAGATACTTACATTACAATTCATAGCAGTAGCAAAAGAGTTATGAGTTGTGGAGAAAATTTAAAAAGGCCGCCACAGCAGCGCAAGCCCCGGAGGGGCTTCCGCCACCATGGCAGGTCCCACATTTGGGACGAAGTCCTATGGTTCCAGCGGCCTGAGGGCCTTGGCAGCGGCAGGCCCCAGTAACACGAGGAAGTCCTTGGTTCCAAAAAGGTTTATTGTCATGGCGGATAATAGATGGATCTGGGCGTACCCCCCAAAAACTCAGGGCAGTCCCGAGTTATATAGGGAGGGAGAAAGGGGGAGGATTGGGGGAAGATCTGGGGGAGGCATGTTTAATTTGCTCTGCCCTCTGGCCTTCATTAGTATGTAAATCCTTAGGGCCTGAGGCCTATAGCCTGGCCTATGTGACTCTATGGAGATGTGACTGCTTTTTAGGATCCTGGATGATGGGAGGGACCGAACTCCTGCCGGTTCTCGCGCAGAATTCCACGGAGAATCTCGGGGTTCTAGGCACCTGCTCCACCATGACCCAGGACACCCTTATGCAGTCCCACAATGAGTAGCAATGAAAAACTGTCATGGTTGGCGGGGTCACCGCAACATAAGGAACTGTATTAAAGGGTCGAAGCGTTAGGAAGGTTGAGAACCACTGCGCTAGACAACCAGGGATCATCACAGCAAAGGCCAGGGCCACCCCCAGGTCCCAGAGGGAAGGGCTGGGGAGAACCTTCTCTGTCACCCTAGACTGGGTCCAGGTTCACCTGCTCTTCCTCAGAGGAAGCTGATAGAGTCTCAGATTATAATCCCACCCCTGGTGGCACCCCGGTGCCAGGTCAGTGGAGGTCACCTGACAGCAGTACCTAAGTGTGCCTTGTCCTCTAAGCCAGAGTAATGTCATCTGAAGCTTGAAAGGATCCGTATAGAAAGGCAACAGCAAGCCCTCTTCCAAGAAAGTTTAGAGCTGAATTCCCTGGGAGTGACTTCTGGGAAAGTCTGAGAAGATGGAAAGTTTACATTCGGTTCCACGTCTCCTAATGTGACAGACACAATGCAGGAGCACTCGGGCAACCAGGAAGAGCCCAGTTTGAGCAGATAGGACTGAGTCGCAGATGCTAAGATAAGAATCTAACATAGTCTCATCAAAACATCCAACAAGTAACCAGGAACACGTGAGAAGCGAAGGGGAGAGCTATGTGCCTCGGTGAGCATCTAGAGTCCCAGCTACTCAGGAGATGAGGTAGGAGCGCTGCCTGAGGTCAGGAGTTCAAGACCAGAAGGGACAACAAAGTGAGACCCAGACAGAGAATCGAAAGGAACCCAGTAGCTACTTTAAAACTGAAAAACTATAATAATTGAAATGTTGGAAATCGACGACAGTCTTCACAGTGGAATGAAGAGGATGGGGTGGGAAATGTCATCATCCAATTCATGGAGAGATGGAGGGACAGACGGATGGACAGACGGACGGACGGACAGAGCCTCAAGGACATGTGGGGCCCTGCTTAGAGATCTGAACAGACATCTCTGGAGCATGGAGGGCTGGAGAAGGGAAACAGGGCTGAATGTTTTTTTTTTTTTTTGGTTTTTCGAGACAGGGTTTCTCTGTATAGCCCTGGCTGTCCTGGAGCTCACTCTGTAGACCAGGCTGGCCTCGAACTCAGAAATCCGCCTGCCTCTGCCTCCCAAGTGCTGGGATTAAAGGCGTGCGCCACCACTGCCCGGCTAGGGCTGAATGTTTTAAAAAGCATTTGAAGAAATAGTGGCTGATTCATCACCACTTGCCGCTGCCTCAGATGTAGGAAACAGCAAAATCTACAAGTTCTAGAAGCTGTCTGAACCTCAAATCAGAGGAGCCCAGGAATCCACACCACATCACTGTCAGAGCTCTCAAGACAAAAGGCAGAGAAAAGTCTGAGGGCAGTGAGCAATGCCATGCTTACAGGGGAAACCCACTGGAATAACAGCAGAACTCTCATCAGAATCCTGGAGGCCAGCAGGAAGTGTCTGCCACCATACAGAAGGGGAAATGCCCTATTTACGCCTATTTATTGTGGCCTATGCAGAAAATCCCAAGGAGTCTGCAAAACACTCCTTGAGCATGGAAGTGTGTTCATCAGAGACACCGGATAGAAGCCAGTTTCACAAGCACACCGCTTCTACAAATAATGAACACATGATCTAAGGCATTTTGTCATGTCCAGTTGTTTAAACAAAAGATGGGGGTGGGACAGGGTGCTGGACACTGCTGGCTCACACCTTTAATCCCAGTAGATCTCTGAGTTCAAGGCCAGCCTGTTCACAGAGTCCTAGGACAACCATGGCTATACAGAAAAACCCTGTCTCAAAGAAAGAAAGAGAGGAAGAAAGAAGGGAGGGAGGGAGGGAAGGAGGGAGGGAGGGAGGGAGGGAAGGAGGGAGGGAGGGAGGGAGGGAAGGAAGAAAGAAGCAAAGAAAGAATTAAAGACAAACAGACCAAGGAGCTGGAGAGATGGCTCAGTGGTTAAGAGCATTGACTGCTCTTCCAGAAGTCCTGAGTTCAGTTCCCAGCACCCATGTCAGGGAGTTCACAATCTCCAACTCCAGCGTGTCTGCCTCCAATGCACATATCATTCACTTAACACAGGCACATGCATACATTAAACAGTTTTAGAGAAGGATTTTTAAGAAGACTGAGGAGATAGCTAGGTGATTAAGGGGCTGGCCACCTACTCATGAGGATGTGAGTTTGGCTCTCTAGAATCCCACAAAATGACCAGGTGAGCATGGCAGCCTGGCTATAATCCCAGACTTGGCAGATAGAGAGAGGAGACCAGATCCTCAGAGCAATCTGGCTAGCAAGCCCGGCCATATAGGTGAGCTCTGAGTTTGATTGACAGACCCTGCTTCAATGAAAAAGATGAAAAAAAAAAATCAAAGATGATCCCGGACATCAAAATGGGGCCTTCACATGCACATTCTCCCACACAGGTATACCCAAATGTATGCAAAATATACAAACACATACACCACACAGACACACATATGAAAAAGAGAGGGCAGTAAATACCCACGCCTAAATCTAAAAAAAAAAAAAAAAAAAAAAAAGGATATGGGACTTATATATTGTAAATTACAAAATATCGGTAAGGTACGAGAAAGTATAAATAGAGAGACACTATGTTCATGGAGAGGGACAGCTAACGGGAAGATCCGCAGATTTTATGAAACCTCCGTCAGAATACCAGCTGCCTTTCTGTAGACAGATAAGAGTCTCAGAAAATTTACATGGAAAGATAAAAGAAACAGTTTAAATAGCTAAAACAAACCTGAACAGGTAAGATGGAGCGGGGAGGATCCTCTACTCTCTACCCAGTTTTGAGACTGATTTTGTAATCACAGTAATCAAGACTTCCGTGGTGCTGGAATAGACACACGACTGTAACAGAAGAGAGGGACTCCGCCCCCTCACAAGCACAGCCAATGATTGGGGACTCCGCCCCCTCACAAACAGCCAATGATCAGGGACTCTACTCTCACAAGCACAGCCAATGATCAGGGACTCTACTCTCACAAGCACAGCCAATAATTGGGGACTCCGCCCCCCATAAACAGCCAATGATCGGGGAGTCTGCCCCCTCATAAACATAGCTGATGATTGGGGACTCCGCCCCCTCACAAACAGCCAGTGATGGGGATAGACAGAGGAGGGAGAATAATGTTTCTTTGAGTGACACTGGAACAGGACACGCATGGCTCCCTAACCCCCAAAAGAAAAAGTCTGGATCTTAATTTCTGACACTTCATAGCTAACTAACTTAGAGCTTTAAATGTCAAACACAAAAGTGTAAAACGTCGACACTACCACTGCCGAAAATTCTCAACCCTCCAGACCCAGGATGTAGGGAAGGGTTCTTAGATGCGGGCTGGCGAGGTAGCTCGGCTAAAAGCACCTGCTGCAGAAACTTGAGGGCTTAAGTTTGATCCCTGGGACCCACGAGGAAGAAAGAAAGCACTTATGCCCACAGGGACTCCTCTGACCTACACACGTGCACTTGCATGTGACTAGCCACGCACACTCGCGCCCCCCATGAACTCCAACACACACACACACATCCATACCCCCCCACACACACTCATGCCTCCCTATGCCTCCCCCACACACATATCCTCCCTCTCTCTCTCTCTCTCTCTCTCTCTCTTTCTCTCTCTCTCTCTCTATGTGTTTGTGGGGGGGGGGGGAGAGATGTAAAAACTATTTTCCCTTTTTTTAAAGGAACTATTTTGAAGCCAGATCCAGTGGTGACATATTGTAAGGCCAGCATTCCTATGGCAAGATGGGGGTAGGGGATCGAAAGCTTGAGTCTACACAGCTTAGCGAAACAAGAGAGACTCTGCCTCAGCCAAGTGAAAGGAAAGAATCTCCCTCTGCAGGAGATCTTCTGACCTCAGCGCACACACAAAATAAACAAAAACGAACTCAAAAAAATCTGGCTCTACAACTGCATTTATCTTAAGAGACACAAAAACTTAACCTTCACGTGAAACCTATGCATAAACATCCATAGATTTGGGGTTTTGTTGTTGCTGTTGTTTTTGTTTAGTTTGTGGGCTTTTTTTTTTTTTAACATGTAAGAGTAAAAATATCACGGGGCTAGAAAGAGGGCTCAGTAGTTGAGCAATCGCTGCTCCTGCAAAGGACCCTAGATCAGTTCCCAGCACCCACTCAGTGATGCGTAACTGCCTGTAAGCCCCGTTCCAGAGGATCTGGCCGCCACATGTTCCTGCGTGGGTGTGATACACATAAAACTCATGAAAGCAAACACACGTGACATAAATTAAATAAATAATAAATACACTTTTTAAGCAACTAGTAGTCAGAATGGAAACTAGATGAGTGGATGCCAGAGAAAGGGCGGACAGCGGGGGGTGGGGGGTGGGGGGTGGGGGGGGTGGGCTGACGAGAGCCAACAGGGCCGTACTTGTGGATAGTTTGGGGATTTTGCTTGTTGTTGAATCATGTGACTCCTACTTTCTGTCTCTCCCAGGCTCCAGGCCTGCACCCCACGCCCCTCTTTACAAGCTGCCTATTTCAGTTGTGTTACATGAATCTATACACCTGGTATAGTGGCTGACAGCTATGTGTGTCCTGTACATCAGTGTCCTGGCTTCATTGTGACATTAAAGGCTTGTGGATGCCATGTGATGCTATCTTGCTCCTTGTTTGGGACTCTCTGTGAATGTGTAATTATATAAACATTAAAAGGTTTTTAAAGTTCTTTTTTTTTTTTTAATTTCAGGTCACTCATTACTAATTAGTTAATACCTTTGAAAACATGTTCCCAGAAACCTTATTGACTCTCTGGGTAGGGAAGTGGTGATGATTCTTTTGGTAGTATATAGGGCTCCACTGGAAAGAGGCCTGGGCAGGAGAGAGGAAGTCAAAGAAAAAGAACAGACATCTGCAGCTGGGGACATGCACAGTGTCCCCTTCATTCATTAGGAAAGGACAGATAGCCCTGTGGAAAACTTCTCAGCGTAAGAAATCCAAACTGCAAATGTGAAAAGGCAAAAAGGCATCTAACTTCAACCATCACCAAGGAAATATAAATCCAAACCACAATAAGCTCCTCTTCCCCACCCACCAGACATATAAAAATAGCGCTGCCCCATTCACACGGAAGTGGAGCGAATGGAGAACTCAAAGCTCTCTGAAGAGGCATCCAGTGTGGTCCCCATCATTTCGGAAAAGTTTGACCTACTGCCTCGGACAGGACTTAAGTTCCTCATCCCCACATCTCCCCCGCTGCAGGTTAAAAAACAAAGCTTGATTCTTGGACTAGTAAACAGCAAGCAGCCCTACCCTGCTGGACCACCTCTCCGGTTCTGTCCTCAGACTTTTACAGTGTGCTTGTGTGCCTGCGCACGCATGCGCAGGCGCATGTGCTTGACCTAGTCCTACGTGCGAGAAGACAATCTGTGGGGATCAGTTAGTTCTCTCCTACTACCCAGGTTGGAGCTCAGGTTATCAGACTTTGCAGCAAGTGTCTTTACCTACTGGGCTCTCCTCAGATATTTTAACCAATTTCCATGCTTCTGTCTGCTCTCATTTGGGGCTCCAATTTTGCCATCTGGATTCTCTTTATCTCTGACTGTCTCGTAAGTGGCTTGTCCGCTCTCATCCTGTCCTTCACAAAGTCAGAGCACACGCTGCACTTTCTGTGGATCATAAAATGCATGTAGACCCTGAAAGCTTTTGTGTACGGTACGGAATCTATACCAGACGGTAGCTGGATTCCTTGCAGCATCTTATTTATGAGTGGGTGAAATCTGCCTCTGAAAGCGTTCGTTCACTCCACAGCAGTCCACCCTGCACCCACTTCCACACGATCCGGTTCTCCCTGCTTCCTTAAGTGTAGACCTGAGCCAAGGCCGAGGCTATTTACCATCCAGAGAAGTAACTCTGGGTGGGGTGGTGCTCTGTATAGCGGTGTGCATGCATTGACACGTGTGCAAGTGTGGTCCACCTTTGTTTGTTTGCTTGCTTTTTTTGTGAGACAGGGACTCTCACTAGCTTGGACTTCACCAACTAGGCAAGGCTGGTTAGCACGCCCCTGGGACCTGCCTGTCACTATCTGCTCTGTGTTGGGAGCAAGCCACTGCTTCTTACACAGATCTGGGTGTTAGCGTGTCTTTGTGTAAAACAAACACTTTTCCAACTGGGCTAGCCCCCCAGCTTCTGAGCAGAGTTCTTTCCCAGCTCCTCTGTGCCACGGGCTCACTGGGTGCCCACACTCACATGTGCACAGTTATCTGGGACTGTGGTATCTGTGTCTGATGTCCTCTCCATGCTCTAGGTTCTCTTCTGTCTCTGTTTCTGCCCTAGTGGCCACCCTTTGCATTGTGGGGCAGGAGAGCCTCCTCAGCCATTGTTCCAGCTATACCTCCCAGCACCAAGTCACAACCACCCCAACGATGTCACCAGACTCTTGGCTGCTTTGTGGGTCCTTTTTCTTCCTCTCTTCTCCACCCCTTCACTTCTTCCAACCCCCTAACACCAGGTAAGAGAGAAGAAAGAATAGAATGGGGGTGGGGGGAGGATGGTAGCATTAGACTACTCCCTGCTAGCTAGGGGGGTCTCAAGTTCCTTGGGGCAAGTTTGATATTCTCCTAATTTCTTCTTTTCATCTTTTCGCACCGACTACTTAACAAACCACAACCAACAGCATTCAACCATTTCCTTCTAGCGGGTTCTATAATTTATGTATCCTCTGAAAAGTCCCCCTTTTAGCAGGGCTCTATAATTTATAAATCCTTTGAAAAGTCCCCAGAAGTCCAAATGTCACACACGGAAACTAACTGCACGTGGCAATATCACACCCCCTGTTAGAGCACAAGGCAAACTGTCGACAGCTGCTGTGGACAATCTGAAGCAGCCCTATATCCCACACCTGGGATTAAAGCAAAAATACATATTATTCCTGTGTTTTTAAAGAAACCAAAATTCTCACTACACAACTGCCTCCAGGCATTGCCAGTATCCTTGTGGGAAAAAAGCTTGTCCCAGCTTTGCAACTATGTGCTAGCCGATCGTACACCTATTAAAAAAAAAAAAATCCAAGCCTGCAGTATGAGGTGAGTAAAAGGCAGTCTCGCCACACAAGCCTGAAGACCTGTGTCCAGTCCCTGAAACAGGAAGACAACACATTCTGAGACATTGCCATCTGACTCCCAGACATGTGTCCTGTCTCCCCCAACATCCCATACTGTATTGGCCTTACGTTGCTTGAATAAGTGGGGGAATTTCTTTCTGATCCATTTGGGCACAGAGAACGGGAGAAGGATGAAGATCAGGACCAGCAGCAAGGTTGATGTCAGTGCCAGGAACAAGGTAAGGACCTGCAAGTAGCGCCCTCCTGTGGGAGCAAGGAGATACTGAGGTAGGCTCTGGGGAGGCAGTGCCTGGGCACCCCAACCCATAACTCAATAAGCTTAGATGACTTTACAGTCTTTTGTTTGTTTGTTCTGTTTTGTTTTTGAGATGGGGTCTCATGTATCCCAGGCTAGCCTCAAACTCCACATGTACCTGAGGATAACTTCAAACTCCCTATCCTCCTTCCTCTACCACCAGAGTGGGGATTACAGGTATACACCACCACGCCCAAATTCATACAGTTCTGGGGAGGGAATCCAGGGCCTTTCCAGCATGTGAGGCAAGTATTCTATCAACTGAGTCACAACCCGAGTCCTAAACCTAAGCGGCTTTTAAAAATGAACCCAAATGTGGGCTGGAGAGATGGCTCAGCAGTTAGAGCACTGGCTGCTTTTCCAGAGGTCCTGAGTTCAATTCTCAACAACCACCTGTAATGGGATCCAATGCCCTCTTCTGGTGTGACTGCAGAGAGTAACAATGCATTCATATGTTGGGATACTAAGTAGTCTGTCCTACGAAACATAGAAAATATGTGAGTCCTGTCAGCCCTGTGGACTTAGCCTTCGTGAAGGTATGCTACCTGTATGGAACAAGGATTGCTGTTACTGACTGACTAACAGCAGGAAACAAGGCAGAGTACTAAGAGTAAGTACCTGCTGAGGACAGAACTGGGACACCCAGCAGTGCTAAGAGCATTCCCATGTAGTATGAATAGACATCATGCGTTTATGTAGCCCAGGCTATCCTGGAACTTGCCATCTTCCTGCCTCAACCTCCATAGTGGAGCGATTCCAGTTGTATGCTACCATAGCTGCTTATGAACTTTTATCTAACAGCAATTAAACAATTACCTGGCTCTCCCTCTGGAGGAGTCACAGCAGTAGTGGCAGTAGTGGCGGCACTTGGAGAGAAGCTGACCACAGTGGGTCCACAGACCACGTCTTTCTCCTTGGTCCCATTCTTAAGCACAGATCTTCCGGCTAGAGAGCAGCTTAAACAGGTCAAGAAGGAGCTCAGACGGTTAATTTACACAGGCGCATAGTGAGAAACTTTGTATCCAAGCGGTGGGCGGGCCTAGGCTCACAAGCAGAGTGCAGACGTGAGAAAGTAACTAGAGGCTCCCTGACCTCTCGCCCGTCTTCCTCAGCTTCCAGGTACCATAAGCCTCAGACATTCCACCTCCCATCAGGCCTCCTCTCTCTCCCCAGGCTGAGGAGCCACATGTACACCATCTTACTCCATTACAGCCAAGTACATGGCTCCACGTGTTTGCCTCTCCATCTTTCCCCTCAAGTTCTTGCTCCTTTGAGTAACCTGGGCACACGTGGGGCATCAATAGGGATGGGGGCGGGGAGGATGTCCAGCAGTGTCGTCAGACAATGTAGGCGTAAGCCCTAGGTCTGCACTTCAGAGTGACCGTCGGCAGATTTATAAAGCCTCGGTTTGCTCAGCAGCTTAAAAGACGGGCAGCCTGTGCTCCCAGAATTGGGATAAAAGAAAGTGAGTAAGTCCCAGGGACACAGGCTTCTGAATAGCAGCTGATATTGCCATCACCACCATCATCACCATCACCACCACTCACAGGGTTTCTCCTTTTCTCCTGTTGACACCCCATTTTACAAACACCAACTTGGATATTGCATAAATATAAGCAATTTAAGTGGAAAGAGCTTTTTAAAAAACATATGAGTCTATCACCCACCAGTACACTTGTTAATTGTTGCAAATATGTAACTGAAGTAACAAAAAACTCACTTTCTGCTAAGGAAATCAGACAGAAGATCACAGGCATCGGAAATGTGATTTTACCATCGGGTCAGTAGTCCCTATGACTGCCAGCTTGCCTCATAACCCTGAGCCGTGTGTTCCATGCCCAGACTCCTGTTGTCCTAGGTACCATCAAACCTCACCTGGACCAGTGCCCACCCCCAGAGCCCAGTGACAACCTTGCAAGCCTATGAGTGCCTCTGGACCGCTTCCACTGCCGGTGTCCCTCCAGTGGCCAGCACAGAACTTACGTATGTGCTGGAGACAGAGCCTCAACCCCCTACCACGCACATAGCATGGGTTCTGAGGAAATGCCCATATTCACACGTGGTTCTGTAAGCACACAGAGTTCCCCTGTCACCTAGGGGCTTGTCACTGCGGATCTACATTCTAGTGACGGTGTCCTTCTCTTTCAGTTTATCCCAGGGTCTATGTGTTGTAAGAAAAGTAAGAGTGCATACATACTTCGTCCAGGGTCGACAGACGCCAGCACCGTTCTGGTCATTAAACGTTCCCAAGCTACAGGTCTTACAACCTTGAAGAAAGGTTGAGGGTCAGTAGAACGCATTTTACCATCTCTCTGGTTTCCCAGTGGTGAGCAACTGACTCGGGTCATTAGGTCAGCCTGTGCACACTGCTTTTTGGCTATTTTGAAGATTTGCTTAATTTTTTTTAATTCATGTGTGTGTGTGTGTGTGTGTGTGTGTGTGTGTGTCCATGGACAAGTTCACATGAGTGCAGATGCCCTCAGAGTGCAGAAGAGAGCACCAGATCTCCTGGCGCTGGCGTGACAGGCCATTGTGAGCTGCATGATGTGGGTGCTGGGAACTGAACTTGGGTCCTCTGCAAAGGCAGCAGTCACTCTAAAGCACCCACTTACTGATTCTTGCACCGGAAGCCTGGGGTTGCACATGTCCAGTCTAATCATACAAGGAGTACTGTGCACACCTGAAGTACTGTACGGATGCATGGTTCTGATGTCCTGGTTTCAGATTATTTCCACTTATGGGAACACAATAGAATGTACTAGAATGGATTGAAAACACCTGTCAGCAATAGTTCTGCGTCTCTGTCCGCTTCTTGCTATGTTTAGGTTCTCAGACTTATGCCTGCCATCCGGGTGCAGAGAGAGCAACCTACCCTGCTCCGTTAGCTCCTGGCCAGGCCTGCAGTCCTTTTCACACCTGGTGCACTTTGGCCCCAAGCAGTGGAATCCCTCCGTGCACTCACACTCCGCGTTTTGGGTAAAGGAGCAATGCTTCTTGAACCTGAAATAACCTACAAAGCACAACTCTGTGTTACCCTTGACCTCCAAATTCAGGAAATGAATCTCTGTTTTGTGGTTTTATGTATATATGTATATACATGTATATATACATATATGTACACATACATACACATGGGTGTATATATACATATATGTACACATACATACACACACATATATATACACATGCACATATACATTATATACACATATCATATATATACACACATGTACACATACATACACATGTATGTATATACATATATGTACACATACATACACATATATGTATATACACACATATACATTATATACACATATCATATATATATACTTATACATCATATGTACATATATATACATCATATATACACATATACATCATATGTACATATATGCATGTATACATCATATGTACATTACATATGTACACATATATGTACATACATATTCATGATTGCTCTCCTTATGTTAGTGACATCATAACTTTAAAACATCAAGTTGGCCTGTTTACTTTCTTTTTCTATTTTGAAATAGGGTCTCGTTGTGGTCCAGGCTAGCGTTAAACTGAAAATCCTCCTGCTTTCAATTCCTAGTGCTGGATCTGTGTGCCACGATGCCTGGTTCAAAATGTTTTATATTTAATCTCCGTTACAATGTTTTTATGCTTTGCTTATTAAAACCTTTTCTTGGGCTGGTGGTGTGGCTCAGTGGTAGAGTGCTTGCCTGGCGTGCCAAAGACTTGGGTCCCATCCCCGCCTCATAAAACAAGCATTCTCAATCTGTGGGTAGTGACCCCTTTCAGGGTTGGATGACCCTTTCACAGGGGTTGTCTAAGGTAATGGGAAAACACAGACGTTTACATTACGACGTGTAACAGTAGCAAAATTACAGTTATGAAGTAACAATGAAAATAACTTTATGGTTGGGGGTCACCACAACAGAGGAACTGTATAAAAGGGAACCACTAACATAAACTCTGTGGTGGTGCATACCTATAATCTTAGCACTTGGACAGGAAGATGAGGTGTTTGAGGATAGTCTGGGCTACCCGGGACTTTAAAAAAAAATCCAGGCATGGTAGCGCCCATCTTTAATCTCAGCACTCCAGAGGTAGAGGCAGGTGATTCTCTCTGAGTTCCAGGAGCAGCTTGGTCTATAGAGTAAGTTCCAGGTCAGCCAAGGCTACATAATGGAATCCAGTCTCAAAACAAAGCAACAACAACGAAAAGAAAAAGCCTCTCACATCAAGTGAGTATTTACTCTATTACTCAAAAAGTTCAGCAAAAATGATTGCTATTTCATGAAATAATTTTACTACAGCTGGCTGTGGACAGAGGTGTCAGCTCGCAGGCGAGGCTCAAGCTTTTAAACAAGATCAGTTAGTGAACAGGGACAAAAGCTTAGCTCGGCCCAACGGTCTTAATGATGAAGATGTCTCCCCTCTAAAGCAAACCTCCAGACTTGGGAGGCTGAGGAACGGGAGTCACAAGTTCCAGTCTAGCCTGGGCAATAGCAAGTTCTCCTTTCAAGACAGACAGACAGACAGACTGACCTACCTTGACACACTCTGCAGATATCACAGTTCGGCTGTCCCCCTATGCTGGAGTATGTGCTTTCAGGACATCTCTTGCAGACTGGATTGTATTTACTGCAGTAAGTACCTGTGAGAAGTGTAACAGGCATTTGTGTCTGACAACATATGACCAGCGCTCACAGCGTTATGACATTTACAAGGACATCAGAATAAATATTCCGTCTGTCCTCTCGGCATCATGGTGATAGACACGTTTACTGACTGGCATTTTAAGGCTGCACACGTTTGCAGGGTGATCCTTGGCACAATCCAGCAGCCAGGAATAACAACATATAAATGCTGTGACAAAGAAATCAAGAGAAGAAAACCTCAAATCTGATGAGCAATTCCTCTGGGAAGAGAGCAGAGCGGGACGGACTCAGGAGAAGGGCGATGTGGCCGGCCACCTCTTGCTCCTAACTGCTGAATGCGAGTCTCATAAAAAGCTCGCATTTACCGTGTGCTGTTTGGAGCCTGTCCTGGGACCCTTCCACGCGGCCCTATGAGACAGCCTCTCTGACGATGCTCAGATGGCAAGTTGATATGGCAAGATTAAGTGAGCGAGCTGGGTCCCCATGGCCGCTTTGTTGTATTCAGCAAGCTTTTGCAAGGGAATGAGTAGCTTCTAACCAGGTGTTTGGGTTGCAATATGCTTGGCCCCATGTGGAGTACCACTATTAGGAGGTGTGGCCTTGTTGGAGTAGGAGTGGCCTTATTGGAGTGGGTGTGGCCTTGTTGGAGTAGGTGTGGCCTTGTTGAGGTGGGTGTGTCGCAGTGGGCTTTGAAGTCTTTTAATGCTCAAGCTCTGCCCAGTGTGGAAGAGAGCCCCCTCCTGGCTGCCTTTGGATCAAGATGTAGAACTCTCAGCTCCTTCTCCAGCACCAAGTCTACCTGGTGGGAAGATTCCACGCTCTCACCGTGATGATAATGGACTGAATGCCTGAATCTGTAAGCCAGCCCCAATTAAACGGTGCTCTTTATGATAGCTGCCTTGGTCATGGGGTCTCTTCACAGAAATGGAACCCTAACTAAGGCACCAGGCTAACCAAACTGAGTCTTCAACAGCCAGAGAAAGCACCTGCCCCTTTGGCACTTACCAGGTTTACAGTTGTCACAGGGGCTCTGCGCGGCTCTCACCTTCTCGGAGCCCACCAGCAGCAGCACAGTGACCACCATGTTGTAACAGTTGTTTGCCATATCGAAGTGTCTGTCGTTCACGTGCACGCGACACTAGCAAAGGAGATTCCAAAAGCATCTCAGTCAGACGAGCTGCTATCGGGCTGCTACTGTCTGTCGCTTGACTGGTAGCATGCTTGCTTAACAGGCACCAGTGTGCAGAAACCCGGAGTGGTAGTGGATGCCTGAAACCCCGGCACACACGTGATGGCAGCAGGAGGAGCAAGAGTCCAAGGTCACCCTCAACTGCAGAGAAAGTTCCAGGCCAACCTGGGCTACATGAGACCCTGCCTTTAAAAGAGGGGGCTATCTCACAAGTGTCATTCTGTAAACTATAAGCAGGGTGGGTCTCCCTTCCCAAACAGTCTACATTGTCAACGATACTGAAGCAGTCCCTCAGGGTTTTAAGGAGCATCTAAGACTGGAATATTGGGGCTGGAGAGATGAGTCAATGCTTGAAAGCACACATTGCTGCTGTAAAGGACTCAGGTTCAATTCCCAAAACTCATACTGGGAGGCTCACAACTGTCTATAACTCCAGCTCCAGGGACTCTTAATGCCTCTGGCTGTCTGCACCCAAGCGTACAAACACATACAAATACAATCTAACATTTTAAAGTCCTTTAAGAAAAACACTGGAATATTATGGAAACAGAAAGTTCAGAGTTCTACAGTAGTCACCGGCTTTATGCATGTCTGCAACGCCCAAGGGTGAAATCTCATGTTCTCCACAAACACAGGGACAAGGAAAACAGGAGTATTACAGCTTTCAGATTATCAGCAGTGGCATCAGATTGCAGCTATGCTGCCCCTGAAGCAGAGCCCAGGTGGCCAGTGTCATCTGAGGGGTCCCCTCACAGAGAGGAGAGCCTATGGCTATCGCTCTGGTTATTTGACTGGACATTTAACTGGACACATTTTAAAGACCCCTGTTAATCCACTGTCAGGGTTTCTTAAGCACAGACAGACCTGCACTTGCTAATTTTGAGATTTGAAGCTTGTAAAACAAACAAAAAAAGGCAATTAAAAACAAATTATCAGGCTGGTGCGAAAGCTCAGGCGGTAGAGTTCCTGCCCAGCATGCATGAAAGCCTGGTTGGTACTCAATCAGGTACAGTGGTCCATAGCTGTAATCCTAGCATCCAGGAGATGGAGGCAGGAGAATCAGAAATTCATGGTCATCCTTGGCTATACAGAGAGTTTGAGACTAGACTGGGCTACACAAGATCCTGTCCAAAAAAAAAAAAAAAAAAAGAAAAAGAAAAAAGAAAGAAAGAAAGAAAGAAAGAGAAAAAGGTGGGGGGTACTAACTTCATTTTTCTTGGTCTTTATGTCTATGAGATAGAAGTTATAAATTACCAGGGAAGAACAGTCTAGAAATCTGCACTGAGAACACAGTCCACCCTCACTTCTCTAGTCTCCCATTAGTTCCAAGCAGACAAACCTTGCGATCTCAAGGGAGCGAAGAACGTTCTGCTCCTTAGCAGCTCAGTGAGGTTCTGCTGCTCCAGAAAGACCACAGGTCAAACACAGGACCTGTGACTCAACTGAGCAGGGCCTCCTGGGAAATCCCCACACTGCTCTGTGAGGTGGTTCATCTCCTCGCTACCCTCAAAATCCCCAGAACTCCGGTCCCCACTTGATGTCACTGTGAAGAGGTTCTTGGAATCAGCTGTTGACCATTAGGACGTTTCCTGGACGACTTTAGGAAACAAATTTGGTCACTTAACATAGTCCTTCATCCATGCCAAAGCTTTTAATGTGTCCTTAAAATACAGGAGACTTAAGGGCTGAGACGAATCATCTCCTAAACCATAAGAACAGAGAGACAGACCTCTTAAACCCAGCGCTGAGTGGCGCTGTGGAGGGCGCAACCCAACCCTGGAAGGGACCCCAGGAATTCGTCTCACAGGTATTACTATTAGGGTGCCCTTAGGCAATGAGAAGGCTCTGGCTGTGTGTTCAGACAGAGGATCAGCAGGGCAGGATGTTCTGTGATGTCTCTGTGTGTGTGTGTGTGTGTGTGTGTGTGTGTGTGTACGCGCGCGCACGACTAGGGAGAAGAAAAACTGCAAGGCAGGAGAGGGAAGGGAAGCAGGCTGCTCACAGGCACGGGGTGACGTCACTGGACAAGGTGGAGATCCGTAAGTTTTAGAGAAACATTAAACTGATTGGGAAAAAAAAGAACTAGAAGAGAAGAAAGAGGGAGGAGAGGGTGAGGAAGAGCAGAAGAGCGAGATAGGGAGGGAGGGAAGGAAGGAAGGAGCAGAGGGGAGGGAGGAGGGGGGAAAAGGAGGAAGCGGTTGCTATGGAAACCGAGCGTGACACGTGACTAAAGATGCTCAGGAGATGGCAGCTGGGGAGGGGGGGTCATAGCGAGAAGACCTGGACATACACACAGCTGTAATTCCAGAACTTGGATGGCTGACGCAGGAGGGTCATGAGTCCTGAGTTCCAAGTCTGCCTGGGTTGTGCTGCGAGACCTGGTCTTTCAAAAGAGCAGTTTTATCTAAAATAGATGGACTTCCCACTGGAATTTGATGACTAGGAAATGTTTCTCCACAAGAGAAATGGAGGCTTGCTCTTGGACTGAGAGATGAAAGACCAGAAGAGAGCTGGCATTTAGTAAAACACATGCTGGTAGCTCTCGGGGTCTGCATGAGGCTAGTCACATCACTGCCCACCCTTAGAAAGGTGCAGTAGAGGGACTGGAGAGGTGGCCCTGTGGTTATGATGGCGTACTGCTCTTGCAGAATACTTGAGTTTAGTTCCCAGCACCCACACTGGGCAGCTGACAAGCACCTGCAACTCCGAGAAGAACCAGGACTCCTTGGGCACCTGAATTTGTGCACACATACCCCCAGCATACACATAATTTAAAAATAGAAGAGGCTGGAGAGATGGCTCAGAGGTTAAGAGTACATACTGCCCTTGGAGAGGACTCTCGTTCAACTCACAGTGTCCATATCTAAAGGCTCACAACAGCCTGTAACTCCAGCTCATGTCTCACAAGATAAACTTCAACATTTGAGTTATACATAGCTCAGGAGATGTTAGAATATTCACTATGCCTGAAACTATCACGTCCAGTTAATTACAGAACACTCCCATCAATCAAAAAGAAATCCTGGATTGGTTCAATGACCAAGGACACTGGCTATTCTTGTTGAGGACTTGGGTTTGATTCCCAACATCCCATGGGGCAGCTCAGAGACACCCAAAACTCTAGTATCAGAGAATGTGATGCCCCCTTCTGGCTTTCTTGGGCATTGCATGCATATGGTGTAAATACATAGGCAAATACACACAGACTTTTTTTTTTTTTTTTAATTTTTGAGACAGTACTCCTCTCAATATGAATCCCCAGCTGGCCTGGAACTCACTGTGGAGACCAGGCTGGCCTCAAAGGCCCAGAGATACACTTTCATCTGCCTCTGCCTCCTGAGTGCTGGGATTAAAGGCATGTACTACCAAGCCCAGCTTTTAATAAATATTTAAAAACAGAACTTCCTAAAGCCGGGCATGGTGGCACACACTTTTAATCCCAAATCTCAGGAGGCAGAGGCAGGCAGATCTCTGAGCCTGGTCTGCAGAGCAAGTTCCAGGACAACCAGGGTTATACAGAGAAATCCTGCTTGGGGGTGGGCTGGGAGACATAACAAAATCCATAATAACATATGTTGTGTCTCCCTGAGACTAATCTTGTCTCTGGGCACCTGTCCCTTCTACACATTCATAAAATACAATTAGCCAACCTGTGGTTTTCTGTCACCGGTTCCTTTCACTTAGCATATTTTAAAGATCCATTCCTGTTGTAGAATGTGTCCTTTTCCTGGTGTAGTCATATTCCTTTAGGCAGAGATATCCCATGCTGTTTATCCACTCAGTAGTTGATGGACATCTGAGTTAGCTCCACCCATGGCTTTTATGCTGCCATCCAGGTGTGCACATACCTGAATCGTTCTCTTTGATGTACGCTTAAGGGTGGAGCTCCTGTGCCAGGCAGTCGCTCAGTTTCACTTTGAGCTCACTGTTTCCCACCGCAGTGACATCAACTCACAACCCCATCTGTAGCAAACAACAGTTTCAAGTTCTCCACACACTGACACTTGTGATTTTTCCACTTAAGAAAAGTGGTCAGCCGTCCCGGAGGCTGGTGACATGGTAAGCCACTGAGGCTCGATCTGCTGTCCCTGGGATTCCTGAGTGAATCCTGAGAGGGAGGGAGTCAGAGCATGGTGTGGTGGCCACAAGCCCACACTTGGCCATCAGTCTGACTTGGGTAAATCTAGACTCTGACATTTATGCTTATGTGACCAATCGGACATTAGAGTACAAGCCTATGTATTGAGGAGTAAGGGAAACAGAGTGATGTGGCTTACATAGCTCAGCACCAGGCATCTGTTTCCAAAGAAAGTAGAGCTCTCAAAGTCTGTCATATCATAAAACACACAGCCACACTACTGACCAGACCACCCGAGGCTTCTGATGCCACAGGCTAGCCCAGTGGGCTAACCCAGTGGGCTAACCCAGTGGGCTAACCCAGCGGCTTTGCCTGTATCACGCACATGTGTGCTCTATGCCCCTGCAGCGTGGTGACATTTAGCTGAGTGCTGCCTACTCCTGTCATCTGGGTGGTTGTGGGCAGAGCTGTCACCTCCCCTGAAGGGATGTCATTTCTATCTCACCACAGTGACATTCATGGGCTCCTCTGCCTATGACACATGTCTCCTCTGGGCTAAGAGAGATTCTCAAGATTAGTTTTATCAGCCTGCAGCTGAACCAGACCAACTGCTCCAGGAGTGTTCTGTGTAAGGTTCTTCTAGGCTGTCACCACGTCCCTGCGGTCTCCTGTGGTAAAATTACCATGGCCACGGAGGTAGATGATATGAGGTACTGCCCATGCCAGCGGAGAGCCTGATGGCACTTGCTTTTAAAATACGTGAGCTACTGCTTAGTCCATCCTGTCTTTCTAATCTTCCAAATGCAATCTTAAAAAAAAAAAAATCACAGCTGGGCGGTGGTGGCGCATGCCTTTAATCCCAGCACTTGGGAGGCAGAGGCAGGCAGATTTCTGAGTTGCAGGCCAGCCTGGTCTACAGAGCGAGTCCCAGGACAGCCAGGGCTACACAGAGAAACCCTGTCTCGGAAAAAAAAAAAAAAACCTACAACATCTTCCTAAGTCCAGACAGAGCACACCAATCCTTGACAGAACTTGTTACACTGTTTCTGCCACCTTCTCAGACTCAGATCTGAGCTGGCGACCAGCTCTGTCTATGAACATCCTGTCAGGTGGATGTGACTCTGAGCCTAGGCAGCATGAGGTCTCAGCTGCTCTAAGGAGCTAAAGAGACGTTTGGAAGGAAGACAAAGACGCCAAGCACTGTAGCACACACCAGCAAACCCAGTGTTTGGAGGTGGCGGCAGGAGAACCAGAGATTCAAGGTCATCCTCAGCTACACTGTCTATCCAGGACTAACCTTGGCTACTTGAGATTCTATAAACAGGTAGGCAGGAAGGGAAAAAAGGGGAATGGAAAAGGGGACATGACAGAAGAACTAGAAAGGAAAATGGACTCTTCCTGTGAAAAATGCCCAAGGCCTGTTCCATGTCCTTGTGACCTTTACCCGACACCCTGGACAGCTACCCAGTACGTAATATCAGATAAGGCTTTTATTTATTTACTTCTGATACTAATCGAAGCGGACCCAGAAGAGGAAGCAGCACGTAAGAAGATGTGAGGTGCTGGCAGTCAGGCTGCTGGCCTTCCTCTGGTTTCTGTGCTCTCCCTGTGTGCTGTCCATTGCACATCCACAGCTCACAAGACCTCGGGGCCGCCGGGCAGTGGTGGCACACGCCTTTAATCCCAGCACTTGGGAGACAGAGGCAGGTGGATTTCTGAGTTCGAGGCCAGCCTGGTCTACAGAGTGAGTTCCAGGATAGCCAGGGCTATACAGAGAAACCCTGTCTCGAGACAAAAAAAAAAAAAAAAGACCTCAGGGTTCCTGATCAGGGCGTGAGGTATCTTTTGATACCTGCATGTCACACCCAGATATTTTGAAAAAAGGTGTCAGGTAAGCTCTGTTACTAAGTGAGTGCTCTCTAGCCAGCCTGCAAGCCACAAACACACAGTTTGCAGGCGTCTGACCTATGACCGGGCAGGTAGTGCCTACGAGAGGCCGTACTTCGAAGGTCCCTCCCTGCCTTCCAGACACAGAGGGTACAACCCAGTCCTGTGGAGTTTACTCTATGTAGGAGAAACTGAACTCCAGAACTGTAAATACATTGAATCCTTATGTAGCTGGAGGCAGTGGCACACCTCTGTAATTCTAATTCTTGGGTGGCAGAGGCATGTGGATATCTGTGAGTTCAACCACCTCCAATCCCCAGTCTTCTGGATGGAAATGTAGATCACACATCTCTTCCTTTGAAAAGACAACCCTGTGTGTTTAACATTCCTGATTTCCCTATTGATCTGTGAGTGGCGGGGCCTCGTGCTCCCAACAGCGCTTACCAAATTCT